TTTGATAAACATAATTATATTTGTATATATAAACTGATTAATTATTTAATTGATATTTAAACATGTGTTATTCTAATGTTATTTTTAAATTGAACCATATTTCTTTATGATTTATTAACAAGTGGATACCATTCAGCTATGTATTTAAAAAGAGGGAAATGTAATGATATTGAGTTATTTTATATTCATATGACCTCTAACCTTAATACTCATTTCTGTAAATTTCCACTGACCACGTTGTGCCTGTAGAATGTTATATCTTGGGAGATTTCCCGCCAATGCATCAGTCCAGATAATAAAACTGACTAGAACACACTTGTGTCTTTTCTCTTATTATATTCACATTTGTGAATCGCATGGACCAACTTTAATAGTATATAAGATATACAAAGAATATTACAATACACCTTATACATTTATAAGTCTCTTAATCTGTTCATTTGAAAATTCTGATCTTCTCAATGACTTTTTTTAAATATCCTCTACTTAAAATTTATTTCAATTAAAATATGTGACCCTTCCTTTATAGTTACACAGCATATGGCTGGATCACAATTCCTTTTTAGTAAATTAATAAAGTATGTCAAGAAGACATTTAACTTTATCAATAGGTTTAATATGGTATTATATATCGGCAATCGGTGAAAAAGAGCTCTTGAAATATTATTTGTACAAATACTGAATAATTTGAAGTGTATTTCAAATAGTTTCCTTCAATATTTCTTTTACGTTCTTAATTGTCATATAGATATGCATGTATAAATGAAGTCAGTATTTTATCCGAGAGTGACTTTTGGCAGTCATTAGCAGTAAACAAGAAGGCAAACCACTAATTGATAAATGTTGAGTACAAATGTACATGTATTAAAATATTTAAAAAATATTAAACAACAGTACTTGTACGGAGCCTATTTGCGACCATTGCATTTTAGGTTAAATATAATGATACTTTTCAAAAGTATTTAATAATGCACACATTTATTAAAAAATAATGAATAGATTTATTTCCCCCGATATTTTTTTAGTTTAATCTTCATGCGTAACCCACACTTACCTGCTATACACACTGGTAGCTACTACCAGCTTTCACAGAATCGATTTTTTACGATGACGTCATAACATGTCCGCCGAAGATAGAGTAGACAGTACAAATTTGAAATAAATCGCATGTATGCGTTAAGACAGGTACAATCTAATATTTTTTCTTGGAGAAATTAGTACTAAAATTTATATTCTATTGATCTTTAGAGGTAATTGAAGTTACGTTCAGGTTTAAGCAGTAAAAATCAGTCCAAACTATCGATAGTGTTACCGGTAGATTTTCCGTGCGTAAAAATGACAGTTAAAATTAGGCGTAACGGTTTGACAGTAAGAAAAAAAGTCTGTAAAATGGGTCAAACCGTTCACGCCAAATTAATTAGGCTAATATATACGCACCTATCAAAATTAAAATAAAAATAGAAAAATTTCAATAGAATTCCTACAGAAAGCCCAAAACAGCAAAATTGAAAATGTTGCAGGCTCAGTTTGATTTCAAATCTGTTCATAAACAGTAATGGAAAGTGCAATTAACCGCCCCCACCGGCTTAAGCAGAATTCCACATTGAACATGCACTGGAACATCTAGATTTTTGAAACAACCGCAGATTTTCAATTCAGTAATATTTTAGTTTCAATGAAATTATACATGTTGTCCTACCTACCCAAGCATGTCCCACTGTACCATATATGGTGTCCCACAGTGCCCCTAGCTCGGGGTACTCTGGGACATTTTAATGACCGTATTCTAATGTATATCTCCAAGTCAACTTAATTATTTTAGGTTCAGTTAGTTATCTGTTACATCCAGTACATATTGTCCTTTTCATCCACGAAAGAGATCATCAATCCTTAAGATATGTTAAGTAGGAGATTGAAAAGCATGATTTTTGTCCCAGAGTGCCCCAGTCTCTCCTATAATTGAAATGACATTGACAGAGAACATGATAATCTTTTGACATTCAACATTTATTTAACGGTTGTAATTGTTAGAAATAAGTGTCGGGGAAAACTTGACTGCTTTTGGAGAGTCCAATCAAACGCAAGAGCTGTCATTCATGACCGGAAATGATGCCACGAAAATATGAGAACCGCCGAAAATATGAGAACAAGGCATATAGGGCCCGTAAGTCTCGTTTACTTTCACTTTCGATTTACCACTTCCGGGTACATCGGCAGACTTATTTACCGTTACGCATATAGGTAACCCGAAGAACTCGAGAGATATAGAAGTTAAATTTGTTTCGGTCCTCTTCAGATTTGAAGGAATGGAAAGCACGGGTCAAAAAATGCAGGTAGGTCAATTATCTGACGGAAAAACGAGGGATTTATAAAGTTTATTAAAACTAGTTTATTTTCGGATAGTGACAATTGTTTCGGATGTTTTGTCAAGTTAGTGAATTCTAGTTGTTTAGCGTTTAGTATTGTTTTAAAACTACCGATGTGAGAAATTTATTCAAACCATTTTAACTTATTGAAATAAACAATGGAGAAACACTTTAATTCTAGTGTATATTAAAGTTATACAAAATTCGGACATTGCACAGTAATTCGGATATTTCTTCCGTTACATTTTATCAAGATTTCAATTACTTACATTAGTATAATAAAACCCAGGTCCCAAGTAAGAGTTTTGATTATTAAATAAAAATTAGATGGATAGATCATAGATTTATTAAAAGTTTAATAGTATTGTTCCATTTCTAACTATGGAGAATAGTATCAAGGCACTAACACTTCTTTTTTTTTATTCTCTTCCTTTTTTTATACATGTTAATATGGTACCTAGCAAATTATGATTGAATTAAAAAATTTAATATTTGAATAAAACATTTCAGATGTGTAGACAGGGAGGTATATGACAAGTATAGAATATACAGTTGTTCACTATGGACCATTAATCAACTGTTTGCACTGCCTATGATCCTGAAATATCTACATGTATACATCAAAGGTAAATACATGTAAAATAATTGTTTAATTTTTAGTTGAGATCGGAGAGATAATCATAAACAATTATCAAAATATTTTAATAATTTTGGATTTCACTGCATGATAATTGATAATAAATAAAACATGAAAAACAGTCATGTTTCACATTTAAGAAGATCAATATTTTTGACTGTTGTATATTTATGTGTTGTTGTTTATCTTTAATGTTTATTTACTTCAAATATGAAATTTTCTGTCAATCATGACCAGCTTATTAAGACTAATGTAAATATCATTTCTAGTGTTTTACTCAGTGAAATATATTCAGGTCTTACACTTGTAACAACATAGTTATTGATTTTTCATTCTGCAGATAAAAAGGAAAAAGATGAAGGAGAATTTGTCCATGAAGACCTTTATTGCAACTACCATCTTCCAGTTCCTTAATTTGAGAATGATATCAGAGAACACACAGTTACAGTGAAATATTAGTTTAATATAAGCCACTGAGAATAGTCAAATGTACTTTCCTGAAGAAGATGAATGACATCCGGCACAAAAATCTTAATGTAAAAGAGTATGATTTTATGTTGTTTGACACTATGATTCCATAATCTTGTTAACTTGTTAATGTTACAATGATAGAAACAGAGTAAAATATCCACATTTCATTGCAGTTTTAAGTATTAAAACTACATGTAGATAGTTACTCTATATATACCAAAGTAGAAAACACACCAGAGATTAGGAATTTTCATGGAATCACAGTATAGTCATATGTCATTATGGACATTTTAAATGACTATGAAGTAAAGATGAAAAAGAAACAGCAAAAACATTATATATCATCTACTACTAATATTGTGAGGTAATCATTGACAAGCTCACAAATTTGCATTCAAAGCTTTGATATCAAGCTGACCATTTTTCAATTAGAATATGATTTATAACTCTATGATAATTTGTTCATGTTAATTTTCAAAGTCTTTACATTTGTAAAAGGAAATATTCTTATTCGTGTATCAGTAGACATTCACAGTGTAAAGATACACTGTCTAAATAACTAATAATAATTTCCAGTGCTTTCCTGAAGTTTTTCTTCCACTGGAATATCATTGTGATATATATGCTAAGCAGTGCACTATAAATTGTGTAAAAATAAAAGTTTATCAAACTTATGAACTGTTTTTTGTTTCTACTATTTGGCATATATTTATAGCAGTACTTGATCATAAGGGTTCATCTGCAAAATAAGTGTCACTGTGTACTTTAATTCTCTAACAGCAATGGCTAGATTGCTTGAATATGCAGGCATTGACTATATTAAATACTATGCATGTCATTTGAATTTTGTCTGTCCTGAAATCGAAACAGACACTATCTAAATAATATTGATGAAAAGTTCTTGACAGCTCTTCAATGACTACATTTACCCATATGTACATGGACAGAAGTTAAAAGCATTGTGTGTTTTTTTAAAACATTGACAATTTTGAAACAGTCCCAATGGGTATATTAATGTATCAGTGATGTAATTGTTTTGTATCAAGTGCAAACCCTAAGTGTTGCATGTTTTGTATAGATAATTCACTTTTGGTCAAATGTCAACAGGTTCAATACATTATAAAACAGGTAATTTGCAACCCAAAGAAGTATATGGTATGTAATAACTGCCCCTCTGATACTAAAATCTTTCAAGGAATGCAGAATTGCAAGTCTTCTCCAATTTTGTGATTAAGAGACAGACTTGGGCTTTCAAGGGCTAGCAAGCTAGTGTTTTGCTACAGAATACTCAACACAGATGAATTGCATTAATATTGTTTACTCTGGTATTACTACCTGCCATATACAATGCAAATCATGGCTTTTCTAAGAGCAGTGAAAGGCTATAACTGGAAGGAAATTTACACATCTTGCCTCAGAAACAAGTTTTTCTTTGAGATGATTTTTATGATATTTAAATGATGGTTATAGATTACATTACTTTTACAATTGCAGTGATCATGGTGATAGTATGAAATGAAACTCAATCAAGATAGAAACATTTTAATGCAGATCATTTATCTTTTTACCATTCTTGTCACCTTACAAGTCTGTTTAAAACAATTTTATCTTAACTGTTTTGAAACTACATGATGCCTGGTTGAAACTGTTTTGGACAGCCATTTGCAGAAGATAAATTGTCTTTGGATGATTAAGTTAATACAAAGTTACAAATGACAGGTTATTTATTTCTCACAAAGACAGGTTATTTATTTCTAACAAAGACAGATATTTTGTTTAACATTTTTACACTGACATATATCTTTGAAATGTCTCCAACCTTAGTTTTTATTAGAATACAAACATTCAGTTAGACAGTTTACACAAGACATGGAGCTTTAAGAAGCTTTAATTCAGTCAAAATATGTAATGGACTGTCATGTCTCTACCACTATGTACTCCAAGACTGTGTATGGACATTTCCTTTCAACTATGTCTGGTGGTATCACTATTTGGTTTCTAATCTGATGGTGAATACTCCAAAATAAATCAAGAGCCATGACAAGTACTCAAGATCCAACCATGAAATCACATACCTGCATATAAAGAAAATTTATCATGAGTTGAAAGCAATAATAATTGGTCAGCTATAAATTTTAATCATTTTCATATTGTTTTGAATAGAAAATAATGTTGAAAAGGAAGAAACACTTCTTGGTGTCCTAGTTTTTGTAGATTTGCTTTGACAACTGATCTTTAAAAATGTGATAGTGACTAAGTTCTTTTAACTATTTACTGAACATGATTTAACTAAAAAATATGACCCACTTACTTGAGAAAAATACTTTAAACAGCATTTTACCTGAATTAACTACATATGCCATACTGTTTGTTTATTTAGCTACACTGTAATTATTTACAAAAACGAGAACATTATGTTATACAAGAATATTTACTTTTCATTAATGTAGTTGAAGTAGCTTTAAGTATATATTTCTTACCAAAACGATTTTACAGCAGAGCATGCATGTGTATTTACATCGGATACTGACGTCTTTCATCTCACCAATGTCCTCGGTTTAAATATCTACACAAGCAAAATATTTCATTAAATTTAATGACAATTTAAATTGGTACTATACAGCTTGACTATTTGTGCTATATAAAGATAATAATAATAATAAACAATATTTTCAGTTAGAAGAAAATATATTCAACTAAAACACACCGATAATCATATTGAAACGTTTTATCCGAAATATGCGCTGTCCGAAATTTCTAAACATTATATACTTCTGAGAGATAATCAGGTAGCGCTATAGAAAATTGATAAAATCAAATTCACCAGTCTGAAGTTAGATGCGAATGATGATGTATCAAATAACAAATTTATTAGATTTACATGGACATGAAAATATTACAACATTTATTGTGATAAACTGAATTCGAAATGACACACCCACCTGAAGATTATACGAAGTTGTCTTTCATTGATACTTGTTCACAAGATGAAACTATTTGCATTTCGTTACAAAACAAAAAACTCTGCCAATTTCCACATATCCTTTGTTTTTCCGTGTAAGTTTTACTTTCCCACTAAGAGTTGTGGGCATTTCTAAAAATAGACCTGTGACGTATGATGACGTCACAGAAACAAGCATGGAAATTACCTGAAAATGTTTAACTATAAATTTGTATTTTGCACTGTCATGATCTTTCATGCATCTCTTAACACTTATTTCCGAATATCTAGCTCATTTTATAAAGGTACTATTTTGCATTCACATGCATTTTGCTTTTCCTTGAGTGACGTGGCTAACAATTGTATGTCAACCGTATTGCAAGAAAACATTTGTCAAATCTCAGTGAACTATTTCAAGTTACCAATTTACTAAACATCAGCCTCCTATCTTTAACGATTAAGAGGCAGTTTTGATTAATTTATGCAGTACTTAACAGTCCTCAATAAGATCAATTAAAGTTTGTAATCAAACTTACAAATAAAACATTAGGGCAACTTTCATTCTGCCTTCAAAATCTTTTATACATTAACAAAATTGTAACAGGGCATTTTTTGTCAAAATTGTGAAGGGGCCTGGACCTGTTCATTTTGTGGAAAAAAGCGTGATTTGTCGTAAAATTGTGAATTTTTTTTCCATATTATTTGGCATTTAGCAACATTATAAAACCGGAAAAACTGCTTCAAGTCGGTACTTTAACCTGCTTAACATGTGCACGGATTTATATTACATGTAATTTAAATCCGTGACATGTGCTAAAACCATTTCACTTGATTAAAACTATTTCTGTGTTCTTGAAATTGGCGTGAATCATGTTTTACCGGAATGAAAACAATGTATTTCAATGACAAAGTCCCAATATTTTGTGTTTCTTTTGAAATTGTGAATTTTTTTCCGCCACTTTGTGAAAAAAAAGAGTGCAATTTTGAATTGTGAAGGGGCCTTATATCGACCCCTGTTATAGAAGGAAAAAAAGCCCTGAAAAAGACACAGATACAACAAATGATTTCAAAATTTAATTAAAGATTGATAATGAATCGATAATAGATATAATGATGCCAATGACCCAGTGTTAGTGTATATTTCAATGAATTATTAGTTCAGTGAGACTATCTGTGCACAATATTTTATTTGAGGCCTAGCTGTAAACAGACAAAAGGTAACAACAGAGTTCAATTAGACTGTAAGAAAAGAAAAAGAAGGCGATGGCCCTCTAGTTCAGCAGCATTCCTCCAGATTCATGCTAATTTTCCTGAAAAATTTGATAATGTATTTAAAAAACTAAAATTTTGTGAAGTGAACAAAGAAAATAATTTTCACATTTTACCCATGTTTATTTAGCAAGAAGTGGTCAAAATATGCAAAATAGCCCTTACTGAAATATGATAAAAAATACTGTGAACTCGGTCATAATTTCTCATAAATTGCACATAAAATTGAAATTAATACACCTAAGTATCTTGAACATTTTACGTTTTCTTAAATTTCAGTCCTTTTTTTCTGAAGTTTGATTTTCTTGAAATATTTCTTCTCTGAATGTTTGACATTTATATAAGTATGATTAAATCATTGTTCAAAGCAATCTAAAGTTAATCCTTAATCGGCAGTAAAATTAACAATAGAGTTACAATTAGTAATCTGCATCTATGTCCCTGGTTAAAGTAAGTTTAACCTTTAATAGTACCCGCTGCGTTAGTTAATTTCTTTTAGTAATCGATCTGTCCAGCTTTGAATTTGGAGCATTACATTGAAAAAGATATAAGGGATTTCAATATCAAAATACAAACAAGAATTTGTAACAGAGGTAATTACCAACGTCCCCAGCCTCGGGGAAGTTTGAGCTTGTGGTATTTTTAATTTCAACTTTTCGGCATTTTCTAGTTGGGTGGTTCCAATATTCTTACTTGAATAATGTTGTTCAAATCACCCTTAGGATATGTTGCCTGCTTTTTAAATTTGTCTTTTGACGTCTTATCTGTGATATGCAGGCTTCATAACCTCAGATCCCCTTTCAATATTCCATTTTATTTAGTTCCGCCCATTGTTTTCTCGTTTAGGGCAAAAGCATTCTGTTACTTTAGGACCATACGCCGCTTTTCATGGCATGGCACTATTGTGCACATTGAAGGTTCCATGATAACAGCCGTATGAACACATCTGCACCCTAACCAAAAAAAAGGCTCTCTGGTGAACATTGCGGCAAGTTTGCCGCAAACATTGCGGTGAGTTTGCGGTAAACTGCTTTCAGCAATTATTTACCATGCAAATGAGGTTTGCGGCAAATTTGCCGCAACTAATGAGGTTAGCGGCAAATTTGCCGCAAACTATAGGGGGCGGTAGCTTCTGTTTGCGGCAAATTTACTGCAAACCTCATTTGCATGGTAAAAGTTTGGAGATGTTCGCCAAAAGTTTGCGGCAAATTTGCAGCAAACTTCATTTGCATAGTAAGTTTGCGGAGGTTCGCCAGAAGCTTTCGGTAACACTGCGGCAAACTTCATTTGCATATTTGCCAGTTTCAGCAAATATGTTCTGGCGATATTTTGGCGAACATTTTGGTAAAGTTCTGGCGAACAATTTTTTTCAAACATTGGAATAATTAAAACTAGCTGAATTATAAGAAAACAAATACATATTGGTTTAACACATTTTTTCAATAGAAAATAAAAGAAATATTACAAACATATCAGTAGAATAAAATGAAATTTGATAAATTTGTAAAATAAAGAAATTAATTCCCCAGTTAAAAAAAGAGATAAATTTTACACACATTTTATTAGCAACTGATTCTTTACATATTTGACTTTCATAAATTTCCACTCTTTAGTTATGATGCTATCATGCATTGTTCATATTACTTAATAATCAATTAAAACAAGAGCCTATTGAACCAGGGTGATCCTCCCCCGACTAGGATTTGGACACAGAAAAGTATATCTTTTGAAGTTTCAGGGTTATGTCCCAGACAAAGTTCAAAGTCTGATAATTCCAAAATAGTTGTAAAATCACACTTCAAATAACGACGCTATGGGCCAGACACATTTTTGCTTCAAGGTCATGCTGTGACCTTGACCTTCAAGGTAATGACCCAAATGTTGCGTGTGACATATCATCTCAATATGGTGATCATTTCGGTGAAATAGTTGTAAAATCCGACTTCAAATAACGAATTTATGGGCTGGACACCATTTTGCTTCAATGTCATGTTGCGACCTTGACCTTCAAGGTATTGACCCAAATGGTGTGTGCAACACATCGTCTCAATATGGTGATCATTTCTGTGAAATAGTTGTAAAATCCGACATCAAATAACCAAGATATTGGCCGGACACAATTTTTGTTCAAGGTCATGGTGTGACCTTGAACTTCAAGGTAGCGACCCAAATGTTGCGGGCGACACGTCGTCTCAATATGGTGATCATTTCTGTGAAATAGTTTTAAAATCCAACTTGAAATAACAAAGTTATGGGCTGGACACGAATTCGGGTTCGTATGTACGTACAGACAGACGGACAGACAACCCGATGACTATATGCTCCCCCGAAATTTTTCGGGGAGCATAAAAACAATGTTTGACAATAGCTATTATTCAGCACATGTTGCAGTATTTCTTAGCACCAAAAATGGGAAATATAATATTGTTGTAAAAGCTAAAAATCAGAAAAGTTACAGTTTGAAATCTTCTATCTGGACAAAAAGTTTCATTCAAACATGAACTGGCATGGAATAACATACATACTTCGACATCCACTTAGACAAATCACTATTAATAACAATAAATACTAACAATAGCGTTATGTGTTATGCAAAAACAAACTAGACCAATAATGGCTTTCAAAATTGTAAAAATGAATCTCAAAAATATATTTTGGTCTTATACAAACAACATATTTCATGGACATAATACCTTCAGATTTAAACTCATGCCATATAACATTATGATTGTGAGCAAAACAATATCTGACACGAACAATTATGGCTTTCAAAATTGTTAAAATTAATCACAACAATATATTTGGGTCTTATACAAACAACTAATTTCATAGACATAATTTTTTTGTTTGTTTGTTTTGGGTTTTTACGTCACATCGACACAGTATAGGTCATATCGTGACGTTCAGGTGCCCTTCCTTGCATTATTTCAGGCACGAACGGGTATCTGAGTAGAACCACCGACGTTCAGTTAAGCTAGCTGGATAGCTTCCTCACATGAAAGAATCCAAAGTCCCTGTCGGGATTCCAACCCACAGTGGTGAGGGGCAAGTGGTTTGAAGTCAATGACCTTAATCACTCGGCCACGGACGCCCCTCATAGACATAATAACTAAAGATTTAAACTAAATGTCTTTAGTCATGTCATATAACGATTGCAAGCAAAACAAAAACAGACTAGAGCAATAATGGCTTTTAAAATTGTAAAAATGAATCTTAACAATATTTTTGGGTCTTATACAAATATAGACATAATTATTAAAGATTAAAACTAAATGTCTTTAGTCATGTCATATAACGATTGCAAGCAAAACAAAAACTGACTAGAACAATAATGGCTTTCAAATG